GGAAATAATCATCCCTTAACTTCATTTTATGAACTTGTGCCCGTGACGCTGGAACACAGCCAGAGCTATTAAAGATGTTTTGGGTCTGACATAAAAACAATTGTTGACCTCAACACTGAGCCTGCATGACAATCCTTTTGTTTATTTTCCTCTTCAATTTTTTCTGGAAAAGTGAAGGAAAAATTGATTTGAGAAAGCAGCCAACAAAGGCTGTGCGTAGCATCTGTTAGTAAAATGTTGATCTAAAATCCGATGTTTTGTTTTCATAAAAAGAATTATTAGGTGCAAGCTGAATGTTAAAGCTAGGAAGCCTGAAACAACGTAGAAATCTTACAATAAATAACTATGTTGTAACCTTAAGATTCAGAACTTTATATTTAAATAAGTTCTACCCAATGACCATACATTTTAAATGTTATTACTTAATTTAAAAACAAACCTTTAGATAGAAGAATCAAGAAGAAGAGATGCTGAGGATCACAGAAATACATGTTCAGCTTTTGAAAAGTACTACCTATTTATTAATTTGTTAGAATTAATCCCTTTTCCACTTGGGTGTATACCCAAAACAAATTAAATCAGTAGGTCAAAGAGACACCTGCATTCCCATGTGCACTAGAGCACCACTTACAATAGTCAAGAAATGAAAGCAAAGAATGATAAAGAAAACATGGAACATACACACAGTGGAATACCATCCAGCCGTAGAAAAGTAAAAGCCTACTACTTGTGGCCACAGGGATGGAACTGGAGGACATCGCTGCAAGTGAAATTAACCAGACTCAGAGAGACAAATGCCAGTGATCTTCCTTACATGTGGAATCTTAAATGGTTGTCTTCTACAAGACAGGAGTCGAGTGGTGACTACCATAGGCTACGGAGAGCAGGGGTAGAGGAGGAGGCGGGAGGTTCATGAATGCACGCTGAGACGCAGGGAGGTAAGAATAAGATCTTCTGGTGTGCTGTGGCATGAAGAGAAGAGTAATGTGCTGTGCATTTCAAAATACCAGGAGAGTGGGATTTGGAATTTGTCACCATAAAGCGATGATATATGTTTGAGAAGACAAGTATGTTTAGCCTGACCTAGACATTACACATATGCATTATATGTTACCCCACCAACATGTACTATTTTGGTGTTTTTATATATGTTTTAACAACTAAATAAAAATATATTAAAAATAGAAACTCATAGCTTTGTCAATTTAAATATTTTAGTGTCAGGGAAACATTTCTGTTCAAATACATGCATGTCAAATTCATAATGGAATAAATAAAATCCCCAAATGCCATGCAGCTTTCCATAAAACTTCTAGTGGTTATTGAAGAATTCAAAACATTTCTCAGGGCTGGTGAGATAGCTCAGTGGACTAAACACCTGCTTAGACAAGTGCAAGGACTGAGTTTCGATCCCTGGTATTACATGCTGTCCTGCCCCACCCCCCAGCAACCAAGACCAGGTGTGGTGGCACATGCCTGTAGTCCTAGCGCTGGGGAGGCTGAGAACAGGAGCATCACTACAAGTCCAAGCTGACTGGTGAGACTCTGTGCCAAATTTTAAAAAAAATTTCTCAAAAGAAATTTTAACAAGTGGAAAATTGGAATTGAGAAAGAGGAAAAGATTTTCTTAATGATTCCTGAAGCCTACTTCCTAAATTTTCTAATCTCAGATGTACTGAAATTTGGCTCAAATGAAGGAAAGCCAGGTCTACTAAAGAAAATAAATATTCTCAGTAGGCAACATGCTGTCTGAAAAGTTCAAAGATAAGATGATGTGGAGAGAACAAAGATTACTTTTTCTTTTTTTTTTTTTGTCCGGATTTGCCTCTCAACAGGTTTCTAAGGAATATGACTCTTCATTGTTTTGTCTAAAATATGTCTACTAAAAACTTTAAAATCATAAGAGCTATCAGCCATAATTAGTGCATGCCGTGGTTAGAGTTTACAAGGAAAACAATTTAGTATAGGACACATCATTTGTAAGATTATTTTATAATAGTGGCTGAAAGAGTCAAATACAAAAGGGTACAGGAAATCTGTGCACACACTGAAGGCCCAGGGCACCCAGCCGAGGGCCTGGATCCTAAAGCATGTCCTGCCTGAATACAACTGAAGACCTAGAACCCACAACAATGTCTCATGCAAATCTGTTCCATGGATCTGAGCTCTGAAGGCCCAAAGGTCAGTGGTGGAAGCTAGGAAATCTGTGCCCACAGGCTGAGGGGTCTGCACTGGAGCCAGGAAGCAATGCTCAAACTGACAACTAAAGCTCCCAAAAAAGAACCACAGCCCTCCTCAGTGACAGCAAGGTCCCAAGTTCCAATGATGAAAACATCTTGAGTCCGTAACAGGAAAGCCAGGGGTACAAGCCTCTCCAGGACGTTGAACAGTGCACTGTCTTCTCTGGATCCAGGAAGCAGTGCTCAAAAAAAGAAGCAGAACTCCCCCAAAGGGAACCACAGCCATTCTCTGCAGCAACAAGGTCCCAAGCTCTTCTGGCAATGAGAACAGCTGATTTCATATCAGGAAGGCCAACATGGCAAGCTCCCCTAGGAGAACCAACAGCTCCACCTCTTCCTCTCTAGTTCTCCCTTTTATGTTCTTGGCAACAGTCCTTAGGTATCCCCCCAACACACACACAGACCCAGCACAAAATTTGGGGAAAGAGAGCAGAAGATGGGAAAGAACAGGATTAGGGGCAGGAGATAGAAGATTTCAGAAATGTGTGAAAGAAGATAAAAGCATAGCTGGCATATAACAGAGTTGTATGGAAAACAGGGGAAATGTTTATTGAAAGAGATTGCTTGGACCCCTTTCATGGTTCTAGAAATACAGAAGCAAAAGTAAATAACTTACTTGTCCCCTACACCACTGTGGGATGGGCCACTGCTTTCTACAGGCATATTTGTGGATGTTAATAGCAAAGGTCAGTTCAGTCCTGCGTTCTTTACATCAGCACCAGGGTTATCAATTTTTAGAATGAAAATTGGAGCAGTTTAGATACAGAAGCTGAGTATCTAAACAAGGGAGCTGAGCAAGTATGAACTACAGACATTTGAGACTTAATTTCACACTTACATTTTTCTGTCAGCATGTATAAGAAACAAAAAAATTCTCCAAAACAGCACATGTTCTTTAAAAGTAACAAAGTCTAGTTTGCATGTTGATATACTACAGATAAATATGTTACAGGAAAAAATGCTGTCTTGTATGAAATCATTTTTCCCCTTCTAGGAAATATAACAAAATATCTTTCTTAGTTATGAAATTCTGACTCTAGAGCATGTTTCAAACTCCTTGAAATAGCTCTTTTATTATATTGGTTTATTTGTGTGAGTGGTTCCTCACAAACCTTCACTGTAGGTGTAGAAGAGGAGTGGTTCTCGTGCCCCACCCTCAGGGACATTTCTTTGCCAATGAGTAGAAGTATTTGCAGATGTCGTGTCATGAGGATGGGTAGTGCTACCCTCATCTAGAGGGTAGAAGTCAGGATACTGCAAAATATTATGCAGATGCAGGACAGACTCCGACCAGGAATGATTAAACCCTGAAGACCAATCTGTGAAGACTGAGAACTCTGGTTTCCTTGTCTCCAGATTGTATGGTCACAGCCTCTTTGTTTCCACCTTCATGATGCACTTCAGAGCAATGTTGCCTTCATTGTCACCAAATTTTCAACTACTTCCACATTCCACATGATCAGTGGACCATTTCACCAGCCTCTTGGCTCATCAGCAAGCCTTGCTCAGAGTTCACCTTCAGCAAAACTGAGTGTGGAGTCCAGTACACTACAGTATCGCAGTCAACCGCGTAGGCTTTGGGTACAGATTGTATGAACTCAAACACAGCTCCAGCATTTATTATTTGTACAATGTTGGCTAAGTTTCTTACTCTCTGTATACTTCAGTGTTCCCACCTGAAAAAGTATGGCCTGGGGTCTGGGGAGATAGCTCAGTAGATTAAGCGCTTGCCTCCCTGGTACAAAAAAAAAAAAAAAAAAAAAAAAAATTATGGACCAAACTGGTTCCCTTCAGAAGAGAATTCTTATGAGAGTTAAATAAGTTAATGCTTGTGAACCAGTGAAGTTGTTGCCTGATCCCTAAGTGTTCTACACATTAGCTATTGTTTTCTTTTCCACGGCAGCCTGCCAAGATCCGAATGCTCCAGCTCCCTTCTCCTCACTACCTCATATCTGAGAAGCAAGTATATTTTAGTCAAAATGGTTTATTGTAAATGCTTACCTAAGCTATACATTTTTCATTTCCCTGATGACCAGAATTTTTAAATATGGCAAAAGTTTGGGCTATCTAGATGCACTCCTTGAGGCAAAGACTGCTTATGAAAGTGCAAAAGGCAATGCAAAAAGTACAAATACTTCAAAACATTTTCCTTGGTGACACAATTCTCCATAGGTACGTTGGAACCTGATAAGTGATGGATGAGAGGATGAGCAGGTCAGAGGCTTCACCTAGATTGTGACATGAGTTGAGATTTGTGAAATAACAAAATTTGGGAGCAACCTGACAAGTGATTTGTACCCTGGAGTTTGTGGGATATGTAGGAAATGGAGATGCAATGTCCAGCCTATGTGTGGGGGAAGGGTGGCTTAGGGGTTTAATCTCGGAGAAATTAGAATTGCAGATAGACTATCTTTTGACAAATAATTGATAATTGAGTTAATGACAAGATAAAATACTACATAGAAAGGAATAGCTGAAATAGAAAAGCAATTTCTGGATGGATGGATGGATGGATGGATGGATGGATGGATGGATGGATGGATGAGGGGACAGATGGACAGACACCAGTGTTGTGTATTAAGGTGAATTAAAGACATAAATTCTTGTTTTCAGTAGGGCTTGAGAGTGTTATCTGTGATAGGGATAGCAAACACCCGCTGGTTCCGCTTTGGGAAGTGCTTAAAGGTCCAAGCCACAATACATAAAATGGTAGTAGACTTTTATACTATTTCAGTTATCCTATCTCTTTTAATGTTTCAGGTCAGAAGGCCTATGGATTATCTGCCCCAAGAGGCCATCAAGTGGTCACAGCAATAGAGTACCAAGGTACAGTGTCCTACTTTTATGGGTGGTATTGTTTACCTCATGACAAAGACCTATGTGAAACTGCACCTCTGTTTGCTGGGATCTTCTGCCTCACCCCACACTCATTCTTTTGCTGAAATGTTTTATGCTCATTCCATCTTGACAACTATTTTTCCATCTCTGTAGAAATTGTGGACAATCAATAAAAGACTGAATGTCCACAGGTCTCCTCAGATGTAAAGTGTCTGCCATGAAGGAAATCTAATTTGTGAGACAGAGAGATAGACATTTTGAAAAGTTTCTAACTAGTTGAAGATGGTGAATGGAAATAATACCTCAACCCCACTGTAAACATTTGAGGTGACATTAATGTATTCTTTTTTTTTTTTTTTTTATTTTAGTAAGGGTCTACAGGGTCTCACTATATAGATCAGACTCACAGTGATCCTCCCGTGTTCAGCCTCCCAAGAGCTGGGATTACAGGCACGCACCACCACACCCAGTTTCAATCAATGACTCAGCACGCCCCGGGGGTGGGGCCAGCACAGCATGACAGGGATTGAACCCTGACCACTGAGTCTGCCTAAGCAGGCACTTTAATCCGCTGAGCTAAATGTATTCTATTTTGAGCTGACATTTGTAGCATCATAAAAATATTTTTAAGAGGATGTTGATAGGTATATAGTTTAAGTTTTATAAGATGAAAGAACTCTGGAAATTGTTAAATGTACAACATTGTGGATATACTTACTGTTATTTAACTGTACAGTAAAAAATGATTAAGATGATGAATTTTAACATCTGTGTATGGTGATGCATGCCTGTAATCCCAGTACAGTACTCTGGAGACTGAGGCAGGAAAACCACTGTGAGCTCAAAGCCAACCTGGGCTACATATTTGAGTTTGAGGCCAGCCTGAACTACCTAGTGAGACCCTGCCTCAAAATGAAAAAAATAAATAAGTAAATTTTAGTTACTTGTATTTTGCCACAGTTAATGGAAGTAGCCGGCTGTGGCAGCATACACCTGTAATCTCAGCACTCAGGATGAGGCAGGAGGAATGCCACAAGTTTAAGGACAGCTTTGCTACACAGTGAGTTCAAGGGCAGCTTGAACTACATAGAAAGACAATGTCTCCAAAAACAAAAGCAAAATTATTGAAGGGAACTAATAAACAGAAAGGTAGTACGTGAAGGCTTTTATGAGTTTACTTTAAATATTTACATCCTTTTTTCAAAAAATCTTTTACTTGGATATGATTAATAATATATACAACTAGAATAATTATCATTTCTTAAATATAATGCTTTTTTAAAGACTGAAGATTGGGAACATTTAACACCCAGGACCCATGACCAGGTATGGTGGCACACTCTTCTAATCCCAACATTCAAGTTCAAGCTCCGCTGGGACAAACAAATGTCTGCGCTCTCATCTTCAAGTGCATTTTCATTTCCCAGAATTGGGCTAATAGGTTTGAAAGAAAGAGATAGAGATTAAAGCAGACTGATGTCGAGACTTAAACAAGTTAGTGTTTGTGCAGTGCTTACAATTGCACCTAGGCCACAGTAAGTGTTCTGTGTGTTTCTTAAGTAAAAATGGGTTAAAATTAAGAATAAGTCTTATCACTCAAAAATAACAAATCACTTCACAATAAATCATGGAAATAACTACTGAGGTTATCAAGACCCTTTGCAGTTCTGGCATCTTACATCACTCTGCTAATGAGACCCACTTGAGTGTGGGGTAGCTTTAAATGAGGAGAGGTGGGAAGAGGAAATCAGTGTTTGGGAGTCACTGGCACTATGAAGTACTGAACGGGAGAATAACAGGGCTGGGCCCAACGCCAGAATGGACGGGTGGAAAGAACAAGCCAGTGGAGAGGCAAGTGGAGCAGAATGTCCCTGAGGGACAAAGGACACGAAGTGGGGTTTCCCGCTCCCCACTGGAGGTCCGGCCTGGGCCCATCTGGGTGTACATCCCTGACCCATCATGATGTCTGAATGACGACATCAAAATTACAGTCTCTAGTTTTCTCTTACCTTACACACATGCTGAGGCAAAAGCCACATAACCTAAAATGCATTTTAAAATGAACAATTTAGTGGCATGTCATATATTCATCACGTTGCACAAATACTGCCTCCACCTGGTTCCAGAACATTCCTGTCACTCCCAAATGAAAGATAAAACCCTAAACCTAATTATATTACTTTTTGATGCAGATTATTTTTAATGTGTTTTTAATGTCTTTCTGTAATTTATTGCAATCAAATGTTAATTTCAGAGCTGGAGATACAGCTCACTGGAAGCGTACATGCTTAGCTTGTTCAAGGGCCTGGGTTCAACCCCAAGCCAAGAAAAAAAATGCTTGACTTCCAAATAAGTGTTTGCTGTGCTTTCTAATTGGTAATTTCAGTTGAATTCGAATTTATTTGGGGCCATTTATTCCAAGTTGGCAAAAATGAATTTTTATATTCCTTTGTAGTTTACTTTTTAGTGTATTTTGCACAGTTAACTTTATCTCACTTAAAGTGTGTAATATTTTGTGATTTGTATATGTGCCATGTGTGTTCTCCCCATTTGATTCAGGTGTTAGTCTCTTATTTCTCCAAGGTCAAAAATTTCTAAGTTAATCCCATCTTTCCTGTATATCATTTGCCATGGTGGTGCCCGGGACTGAACTCAGAGCAGCTCTGCCAGGGCTGGGGAAAGACAGGAGCAGCCCGGTGCAGAGTGTGTCCAACCCTGGAAGCAAGTCAGCAGACTTTATTTAATAGCAACTTTTTTTTTCCTCAAAAGCAATTTCTGCTAATTCCTCAGAACTACTTTGGTGGGATGAATTATTTTCTTGTTATGTCACATTTTTAACTTATACACAGAGAATGAAATTAAAAGGTGCAGGACAGAATCCTAGAAAGATGAAAATCTATAAAAACTGTCTTCATCTTACTAGTGATTATTTTGCTGCATGTTCCTGCTCATGTTTTTTCTAAATGATTATCTGTTCTCCTTCTACATGAAACAGATGTTTGGGCAATGAGTTGATCACCTTAATAGAAGAAACTTGACACAATTTTTTTTTTCTGTTTTAATATGCCTGTGTTGAGGGAAAGAATGAACTGTGATGATATTTTCTCTGATGTCCAAAACAGAGGGATTTTATTCAAATTTGAGGGATTTATGGGTAAATTTATGGTAGTATAGTGTACAGTTTTCTATCTCATAAGGGAAGTTTGTAACTATAGAGAAGTTCCCCATTGGTGAAAATAATGATGGCTGTTTCTGGCGTGGACACTATGCGTAAGGTATCACATGTGTCAAGAATGGACATGGTCTCAGTTCATCTTTGTAACAGCTTTATAAGATGAGCACTCTTGGGGCTGGGGCGATGGCTCAGTGGAATAAGCGCTTCCCTGGCAAGCACAAAGGTCTGAGTTCAATCCCCAGTTCTGCCAAAAAAAAAAAAAAAGATGAGCACTATTGTTTTATCTTTTTTTTTTTTTTTAGGTACACATAAAGATCTTATTCATAGAGAAATTGTACCTGTATATAATATATTTTGATTTCTCTATTTTCCCAATCTTCTCTCCTCCTACTTTATCACTTATGAATGTGGATATAATGTTCAAAAACAGAAAGGCATTTTCCCATTATCCCATACGTAGTGTATGTCAGAGGACTAACTCTAAACCTAGAGCTATGGATTGGTTAATTATGTCATAACACCTCTGAAACTAGAAAATTATGCAGACTGAGGGTTGAATTTTGGCTAAAGACAACAAGGAAAGTCTGTACAGTTAGCATCTAGGTTCACGTGACTCTTTATCTTCATGTTGACCCCATGATTCCAGTATTTTTTAATATCTGTATTCATTTCCTGTGGTTTCCATAACAAAATACTGCGAAGTAGGTGGCTTAAAATAATAAGGATTTATTCTCTCACTGTACTGAAGGCAGAAAGTTCAAGATATTTATGCCTTAGCTCCTGGGTTCTGGCTGTTTCCTTGCTGTGGACACTTTTCTCCAGGAACCATATGACATATATAAAAGGGGTGAACTCTGATTACCCTGGTTTTTAAAATCACATCCTTGTTCCCAGCACTGCCCAGCCTCTCTCACGCGTCTCCATTCTCCTGACCTCCACAGTGCTCATCACCCTGTGGCTTCCCTTCTGATGTCACTTTTTGCCTCAGTTACGTTAGGCTGTAAAATCCCAAAGGGCTGGAGTTCTGTCTATGTTTATTGGTATGGTTCAAGAACAATGTTAGACACACAAGCAATACTTGTCATGTTTTAGATGAGTTGGCTAGACCATCTCTCCACAGTTTACATGGCCAGTGAAAGAGAAGGAAGGCTGGAGTAAAGTGAGTGGATGTAGGAAGACCATTGGTTACATTTTCTAATATAATTCCCTCAGCTTTTCCCATAGAGCAGTGAGGACATTAAATCATGAGGAATTCAGTTCACCAAGATGGGTGTGTGTGGGGTGTGTGTGTGTGTGTGTGTGTCCAAAAATACATGAAATAATGGGTTTGAGTATAAAAAGATTCTTAAGATATAGGAATAAGACATGAAGAATGACCAAAAAAAAAAAAAAAAAAATGAGTGTGGGTGTGGGTTTAATTGTTGGGAAATCCAACAACGTTCGGGAAGGAAACCTATCTGAAACTCAAGACTCCGGAAGGTCACCACCCAGTCTCCTTAATCAACAGAACAGAACTGCGTTTCCTCAGGCAGGTCCCTTAGCACACATTTGTCTTTGGAGCATAGTTGTAAACACTTTGTAAAATGATATTTCTTTGTCATGTAAGACCTGTTTTTAGAAACTTTAAGCATCCTTAAAACCAGCTTCTGATTAGTTTTTTTTCCATCCTTTTCTTTTCTATGCCCTGTTTTCTAATTGTTTTTCTTCCATTTCTTTATTTCTAGCAATGAATCTATCTAAAACTAATTCAAACTGAGACATAAATCATAATCCTGCCATAGAGAAATCACCACTTGGTTACAATTTTCAGGCACACACTTTGGTCCATGTTAGTGTGCGTATCTTTAATAAAGTCTGGGATAAAATTTTTACACAGCACTAATTTTGCTTAATGTCAAAAATGAAAGTTATAAAAAAGATCTTAATGTAATTTGTCCTCCAATCAAAGACTGTTTGCTTTCTAAAGTCATATAATTTGCCTTGTGGGAATAAAAATCTCTCAGAAATGTTCACTTTATGTTTCAGAAAGCCAGAATGAAGCAGACTTCAAAACTGTTTATAACCGTAGCTTCTGTCTGGCACCTAAGCTGCTTGTGGGCCAGCGCTGTTTTCCTCCCTTCACTCATCTTGGTTAGACAGTGGGAAAAAATGCCTCCTTCAGAGGTTCCAGGAATTCTTCAAGGATGCAGTTACAGTAAATTTCCTATAATTTCATGAATTTAACCTTATTGGGGATGTTAAATTTGATGCCAAGATTAAATCTTTTAATAGTTTATCTGCTTTGAAGCAAGGTTACAGCCAGTCATTTGAGTGGAGGACTCACTGATTTGTTAGAGGCCCACACTGTGTTTCTGTTAGTGTAATTGTAGAGAGAATACGCAAAAAATGGATCCAAGTGAGAGTGAGCCTGCTGGCAAAATATCTCGGGCTTCCCCAGCAGCGTAGCTTGGTCTGGACGAAGCGCCTTGCTTTGGCACTAAGTTGATAACACCCTCACTATACCTCTGCCCTGGTACTCATCAAAGTCGGACTGAAATCTTACCTTATTTGCCTCTTCTGCCAGACTATATGCTCTGTGAAGGCTGATACTGGGAATAAGATAAGAAATTCATTGTAGCTCCTGACTGTGAAGTCCTTACTACGGTTGGGCCTGTGTGCTCTACATATATTACTGTAATAAGACTTACAACACCTCTAAGAGGTACTATCCCATTTTATTAATCATTTAAGTACTTTGTTATTACCGTTATTGCATATATTATTGACTCCCAACAACTCTATGAGGTACTATCCCATGCTACTGATATTTTCCTGATATGGAAAATCAGGCTTAATAGCTAAAAAAAGGCTAGTGTCACATAATGATGATGTGGAAGAGCTGTAATGCTAAGCCAGCAGGTCCTGTTGATGTAAATTGTGAATGAATAAATAAATGAATTGAATGAGTAGAAACATAAAGGAGTATGTTAAGGGTGTCCAGAATTTGTTAAATTATAAATTCTCAGGGACAATTAGAAAACAAACATTTTTGTTGTTCTTCCTAGAGGCTATTTTAGCCTGTAAAAATCCAAAGAAGCCCATTTCCTCCAGATTGGAGTGGAAGAAACTGGGGCGGGGCATCTCCTTCGTCTACTATCAGCAGGCTTTCCAAGGTAAGAAGCTGCAGACCTTATGAGGTGAGAGCAGGAGAGCGCTGCACACAGCCCACAGTGTTTAGTCTACAAGCAAGAACAAGACAGGACTGCTTGCGGAAAATGCATTTTTGTGTGAGGGGAAACCAATAGTGTCCGACCCAAAACACAGCAACCACAAAAACAGAGACGGGATAACAGAAGTAAGGGAATTCCAGTAGGGCCCAGGGCCCTGTTGTTTCTCAGCTCAGCTCTGGAAGATGCCAAATGCAGCAGTTTTTGCAGGCCCAGTAGATTAAACTCTTGAGGAAAAGGAGGGGAAAATGATGTGAGTTTGGGATGGAAGACTGCTGTGACCACTGAGAGGCTCAGAGTGTTAAGACCTTACTGTGACTGTTAGCAGGTGCTTTTTATTTATTTTTTTAATTTTTATTTTTTAAATGTATTTAGTACAGGGTCTCACTACACAGATCAAACTCATTGTGATTCTTCTGTTTTCAGCTTCCCAAGCACTGGGATTATGGGCGTGTGCCACCACACCCAGTCTCAGTCGCCACAGTCTCAGGGTGCTCTGGGGGCGGGGCTGGTAGGCAGGCCAGGGATCAAACCATCCCTGTGGCTGCCTAAGCAGGCGCTTTAATCCACTGAGCGATCTGGCCCATGCTTCTTTTTATTTGTTATATATTTCTTTCCACTCTCTACTCTTTCTGTTGGGTATAAAATATGCTTTTGATTAAAAATGTGATAACAGTGGATAAAATGTTATGAAATTAATTTGCTTAAAAATTATCCTTTGGTTCAGGGTACAGATGAACTAAGATAGAACATACACTGATTACTGTTGATAGCTGGAGAATGGGTCTATGGAAATCTGTGTTCCTCCACTCTGATTAGGTGTTTGAAGTTTGCCATGATAAATATCTTATGGAAATACAATTTAATAAGCATAATAAACATGTTATTATTTTAAAATACTATGCATTATTAATTTTAAAGAATTAAAGGGAAACATGCTTACACTTCATAGAAAATTTAAAATATCCCTTCTGACTCTTTCTAATAATTAAGTTATCTAGGTTGGGCTTGATCTTGTAATCATCCTGTGTCAGCCTCTCAGAGTACTGGAATTACAAATATACATGCTCAGCAATTTTTAAGGTTTAAAATTTAGTATACTTTACTGGGAGGAAAATGAATGCTTAGTTATTAAAATGACTTGTGGAAAATACTACATATAAAGTCACTTATATTATTATCTTCTTTTTCTAAAGGTGATTTTAAAGATCGAGCTGAGATGATAGATTTCAGCATAAGGATCAAAAATGTCACAAGAAATGATGCTGGAAAATATCGATGTGAAGTTAGTGCCCCTTCTGAGCAAGGCCAAAACCTGGCAGAGGACACAGTCACTCTGGAAGTATTAGGTAGTGTGTGTGTGTGTGTGTGTGTGTGCGCGTGCGCGCGCGCGCAATATGTGTGTGTGTGTGTGTGTGTGTGTTTAACTACTGTCACCTGCCCTATCTTCACTGCCAGCCCCGGGGCAAAGGGGCCCATGGCCATGCCAGCCGTGAACATGCCAGCACTACCTAGGATCCCCAGCCAATAAAGCTGAAGGAACCACAGGTACTACCTTCCCAGCAAGACCTTGACGGTTTCTTCCTACTGTATTACTGTGTGCTGAAATTTTAGTCTTACTAACCTATTATCAGAAAACCTTTCCTTAAGTTTGATGTAATTTCTAATGGTCTTACTCTGTACATAAGATCATTGTCCTCAAGGTTTTATTTTCTAATAGTTTTCAGCATAATCTATTCTCTCTCTTGCCATCTAAAATAGTATCCCATGATAGGAAAACAACAAAACAAACCTGAAGTAGACCATGGGAAGGATTAGTAGATGTTGGGTTTAAAAACAAATAAACAAAAAAAGCATTTATTTTGCAGCAAGTGTGTTAGGACCTTTCCATGTGTAATTTTACTTCATTTTCACTGAAACCTGATTTGTATAGATAAAGAAATAGAAATTAAATTATTTGGATCCAGATGGGGTGACTGCACACCTGGTATGTTTAATCACTGTAAGAACCATGACAGACAGGATCAGGGTAATTGCTAAATGAAAATGATCTCTTCTTTAGTGTGACCATAGGCTGCCAAGTAAAGTAAATAAAATAATTCTTTTTCCCTTTTTCATGTTGTCTAGACTTTTCCTGAAGTACTAGTAAAGCACTAGTATAGAAAAAAATATATCATTTAGGAAGCTTATCAGCAGATTCAGCTGGTATATTCATTCTGTGTTGCTGCGTAACAAATTATCACGAATTTAGCAGCTTGAAAAGGCATTCACTTGTTAACTTACTGTTCTGTGTATCAGAAGTCCAACAAGGAGTCTTCTGCCAGCAAGGAATCACAAAGTACAGGTCAGGTGTTGGATGGGCTCAATTCTTGGCCTAAGGCTGTGGGAAAAATCCATCTCCATCCTCATTCTGGGTACTGGCTGATTTTGCTCCCTTGTGTTTGTAGGACTGAGGTCCTAGTTAGTGTTGTTTACCAGCAGGGGGCCACAGTTGGGTCTTAAGGGTCACTCGTGTTCCTTGCCTGTCAGCCCTCTCAAACTGCAGTGCAACCAATCACCTTCCAGTGCCTCGCGTGCTTTGTATCTCTTCTGTCTCCTTTTTGTGACCAGCTAGAGAAAACTTCTGCCTTTCAAGGCTCATGTCTTCAGGATGACCCCTCCATAAAATCTCTCTCACTCGGAGGCAATGGGTCTGGGGCCCTGGTTACATCTCCACATCTTTCACTGTAGGACCAAGATTAGAATTGGATTCAGGAACTGAGAGAGTATACATGTCTGCCAAAGATGGGGACCTCAGGTAGCATCTTAGAAGCCACTTACCACACAGCTTCCAGAGTTTCTTTCATATGAGATCATCTGATGAAGACTACTTTCCAGATTCCTGAGAGCAGAATAACTTTAATTCCTAGAGTAGATACTTTCTAACTGGGCCAGGTATAGACAGAATAGGATTTTCATTTTGTACCATACCTAGAAAATAGCCTCGGATTTGACTTCTTTTGAGCAGTTCACCATAAACATTGAAACCATTGATAAAGAAAGCAATAGAGATAAAAAGAAAAGAAGAACTGTCATACTGGCTAAGATAATGTTTGCTATTACAGCAGATAAGCTTTGAAGTCTCAGTAAGTAGCTTTACATGATAGAAACTTCTTTTCATTTAAGTAAAGCCTGAATAACTGGCACAGGGCTGGTAGTAGAGCTGTATTACTCCACTTCAAGAGATTGCTATAGATTCTGCCTAATGTATGATCATATATTTTTGATCATGTGATCAATGTAGGATCACATGATCATAGATCATATGATCAATGTAGGATATGATCACAGATCATACATGTTTGGTTCCTGCCTTTCCAAGTTCACCATGCGTGTTGCCAGCTACTTGGTATCAGGAGAAGACAAGGAGAGTAAATGATTGCACGATAATGAAGGGAAGTTTTAAAGATCAGTGTTGGGCATGGCTGTACCACATTCTAGTGGCCAGGACTCATGCATATGACCCCCACCTATGGCAGGGGCTAATGTAGTCTATTGTGTGCTCGATGAAGGAAATGGATGGATTGAACTGGGGCCTTCTCTCTTATGGGTCTCTAGAAGCACAGCTTTACTGGGATACTCAAACCTACATTTAGCTTTCAAGTAACTGATACCATTTACCTTCCTGTCCAGTGGCTCCAGCAGTGCCATCCTGTGAAATACCCTCTTTCGCTCTGAGTGGAACTGTGGTCGAGCTTCGATGTCAGGATAAGGAAGGTAATCCAGCTCCTGAATACATATGGTTTAAGGACGGCAACCGTTTGCTGGAGAATCCAAAACTTGACTCCCGAAGTGCCAACAGCTCCTACACAATGAATATAAAATCTGGAATTCTGGTAAGTTCATTTCAATGATGGGCCTAATAACTGGCATTTGAATTAAATGATTATTCAAGCTTAAAGTGGTGGAGAATAAGGGACTGACTCCATGGCTTGCTTAGGAGAGAGAGGAGGGAGTAGAAGGAATGACATAAGTACCAGCATAGCTCAGGCTGCATGGGAGGTGGAAGGCCGCAAAGGAAGCCACAGAGCTGGGGGAACAAGGGGCCAGCAGAGGTCTGAGGCAGGAGAAGCCTGGCTTATGACTGGAGATCAGGCAGTTCTCTAGAACTACTTCTGCCTTAGAAGATGAGTAAGTGTAGCTCAGTAGCACCAGAGCTATACGTGAGAGCTCACAGGATGATGCCTAAGTGCTGAACATGTGATGAGGGGACCAGCAAGCCCATGGGCCCTTGGTGGAGTATCTCTTCATTACATTTTTTCCATGACTGTAGATTGTGAGAAGTTGCTTCTATTATTTAAATAGCTGTTACTTTAAATTTAATCCCAATTTTTTCTTTTTTGCGGAGCCAGGGATTGAACTCAGGCCCTTGTCCTTGTCAGGCAAGGGCTTATTCTACTGAGTTATCTCCCCAGACCCCTCGATTTTCTTATTATCTCCTCGTTGAAAAGACTGTGACTGAAAGGCCTTTCTCACATACTGATGGGAGCCTAAAAATAAGCTCCCTTTTTTATTTTTATTTTTTAAATTTTTTTTAGTTTTCTTCTTTTGCTTCAGTGTTGGGGATCGAACCCAGGGCCTTCACACTGAGCTATATCCTCAGCTGTTTTTACTTTCTGAGATAGAATCCCACTAAGTTTCCTAAACTGAGCTCAAACATGGGATCCTCCTACCTCAGATGCCTAGCACACTGGGATTACAGGTGTTCCTTGCCTAGCTAACATCAGCTTCTCAGAGCTAATGATATTTTGAAACAAAAACTATTTTTATTTTTTTCTTCTGTGAATTTTTTGGGTAGAAGTAAGTATGAAAAAAGAAGCCAGTGAGTTTGAAGGTTTTTTTTTTTTTTTTGATCAGTTTAAAAATAGATAATTTCCAGCAAGAAACAAATTAATGAGGGAGAACCACTGTTACCAAAAAAAACCCCTTAAAGGTAAGATAATACTGCAATAATAATTTTATTGGATTTGGAGAGGAGTACATAATCTGTCCTTTCATTCCTTCTATTAATGTAAAATAACATTAAAAATCAAATCTTCTACTCCAACAAGGTGGCGCACATCTGTGATCCCAGAACTCCGAGACTGAGGCAAGAAGATTGCACACTCAAGGACTTCTCTCAGAAATAAAAAAGCTATATCTGATGATATAGCTCAATGTGATGTCCTTGGGCTCAGTCCCAGTACCAAAAGACAAAAACCCACAAAAAATTAAATATTTGATTTTCTGATACTAATAAGCAAGTTGGTGCAGTCACAAAATCAAATGCCTTCCAGAAGATGGCGCTATCGAACGAGGTCATGCCGTGGCCCCTCAGCAGTCGCCCAGAGCAGCAGCAGGTCCAAGTGATTTTCCACTGACAAACTGGGCAGAAAACCTGCCGTCACACTCTGCTATATTTACTTTTCAAATTTATTTTTTCCTCAGAGCAGGTGATAAAAGCCTAAGGCACATTTGAAATGATTCCCTTTCCTCAGCAAGATACTCCTCAGCAAGCCTCCCCCTCAATATCTCCAGTGAGGTCAGGGCAGTGCACTGGGTTGAAGGAGCGTAGGGCCCTTGATGAGGGGTGAACGAGCCTCCAGGGTCTGATGCCAGGGGCTCCTTTTTTAGTTGCCAGTTGCAATGGGAAGACCAGCTGGGGCATCAGCCAAACTTGTTATTTGTGCATAACCTTAGCCCTGAGTTTATGGTGGACATTTTAATAATATTCTGGCTTTGAGGGAGGGAGAGATGGTTTCATTAAGAGAAAGCAACCAGGAAAGGCTTTCTACCAAACCTCGTAGAAATACCCAGAAAGGTGGAGGATATAGGTAGAGGGTATAGAAAAGTGAGAGAGGGAAAGAAGTCAATCAGATCGAAGCCTTTGGTATTTTAGGAACATATGTTTGGGGTGATCAAGACCATGAGGACATACTTCTCAGAGCTTCATGGCTCTCGTGGGTGTGGCCAGTTGTGACAGCTGTGGGGCCAAGGACAGGACCAGGACAGTAGTGCTAGAAGGATCCTGAGCAACCCCTCACCCTCTGTGAGAGCAGCATCACACACGGTACGCAGGCATGCATTCCCTCCCTCCGTTCCCTTTCCTCCTTCTTCCCTTCCTTTCCTCCCTCCCTCCCTCTTTCCTTCATTTCCTCTCTTCCTGTTCCCTTCCTCTCTTTCCTTCTTTCTTCCCTTTCTATCTGAAATCACCTCTTCCAGAATTCTCAAAGTGTATCAAACTAGTGGTACCAGTTATGAATTCTATTATATCAGAGTCTTGCCCTTAATCTGCTTTGGTGGGGCATAGAAGGGGAAAGGCTAGGCTTTATCTTTTCAGAATTTTCAAAAATTTAGCACTGATACAATTTATAATCCTACAGCTGATACCAGTGAAGATCTCCCAGTCCCTAAGATACTCCTGGTGGCAAGTCTGGCACTGTAAAGAAAGTGTTACTTGCTGCTGCCGTGAGCTCATTTGTGACTTGGCGAAGATGTGAATCATTTCAGCAGGAGGCCTCATGTATAGATGGGCCTCCCTGGGAATTAGCAGTACCAAGACTATGTGGCGGTCCCAGATGGGGTAACCCTTAAACACTGTTCCTGGGTTTTCTGATTATAGTATTTCTTGGGTAGGATGAGGATGGAAGAACAGCATCCTTCCCATATTTACATCTTTTCTGTCAAATGAAACAGGAGGTCCAGCTCCTTTTCAGTTAAAATCAGAGTAGATTTTTAAATTCACAATAAACATGTAAAGTGCTGAGTTGTGAAAAAGCAAAAGTCACCTAATTGATAAACTACAAGGAACCTGGTTGTTTTAACAGCTTTCCTAGAGATTCTTTGTTGTTTTTTGTTTTGTTTTGTTTTTCTGCAGCCTTTAGGGTGGGGCTGTAGCAGCACTCTGTCCCCTGCGCCTGTACAAGCTTACCTAAGCAGGTGCTTTAGACCACTGAGCTATCTACCCTAGAGGTTCACTGTTTAAAAATGTTTTTATGTTTCCTTTTTTCAAATAGAAATTCAACACTGTGTCCAAGGTGGACAGTGGAGAATACTCCTGTGAAGCCCGTAACTCTGTTGGATATCGCAGATGCCCCCAGAAACGAATGCAAGTAGGTAAGCATGAAATACTGGGACAACAAATGGTTTTCAATTAAGCTGTGCAACTCCTTGGAGGAAGTAATGGAGGAAAGATTTTGAGTAATTTGAAGTAGAAGTTGAAGAGGATATTTAAAATTAACTCGGTAGAGCAAAGAAGCAGCCTTTATGCTTTTAACCCATTTTCTAATTACCCAAGGATATTTAGCATTATTGAACACATTTTTACATTTTTCTAATTAGTGTGTTTACGGGGTGCTCTCCTGAGTAACTTTCAGGCAAAATTGACGGACTTAGAGTGTGTACAACGCTGAGGGCCCGCCAGTCTGAGTGCACATTTTCTCTACACCTCTGCTGTTTATTAGCTACATCCTCTCAGGCAAGCTGTGCAGCTTCTATGTCACAGTCACCCCATATGATGTGCCTTCCTCAGAGAGTTGCTGTGAAGATTAAAATATTCAATATTTGGAAGTATTATGATGGCACTATTAAATTTGGGAGCACTATGTACCTGTTAGCTATCACAGTTATCGTTATCAGATTGTTGCTGACAGCTTTTTCAGTATTCTAAAATTCTAGCCTATACTTATCCTGCAGTGGACTTTCTAAAAAGACATGTGCAATAGTCATTGAGCTAAGTTGCTATAAAACATAGCTGCCATGTATTATATTTATTTCCCAAAATAAGCTTCATAGAATCCAATAAAAGTCAGTGTTTTGGGCTGAGGAGATAGCTCAGTGGCTTAAGTGCCTGCTTAGCAAGCACAAGGTCCAGAGTTCAATCTCTGGTACTGCACAATAAATAAGTAAATAAAATAATAATAAATGAATAAATATTTTAAAAGTCAGTGTTTTAAGAAGCTTTTCTAAGTTATGAGCATTTCAAAGTATATTATTGCTTTTCAAAAATCTATTTTTAAAAATTTGATTTAATTAATCCTTTCAGTAGGAGCCATGTGTTGTGAGTATAGTTATGTATTGAAAGAGTGGTGCTGGAAATGCCACCTGAGGGGTGAGTGCCAGTGTACCCTGAAACAGAATGTGGAGGACACTCTTTGATCTGGGAGCTTTTGATCTGGGAGCTTGTCCTTAGATGAGCGAGGTCAGAAGTCCCTCTTTTCACTGCATTTAGAGTACAGATACAGGCGCACAAATATGCAATATCTATTTCTATATTAACATTATATTTTAAAAATACTCTAATTTCTATGAGCATGTTTGAGCTTCTGATCTTATCTTTAAAAAATTCAGGCATACATGGCCTTGACATTGTCCACCAAACCTGCTGACATTCATACTCAAAGATAAGCAGTTAATTAAACCACCAAAAAGTATTTCTCTGAGCTGTAGATATTAAAACAGAGACACTTAATATGCTAGAAGACAAAAGAGGTAAAGCTCTTTCTTGTTTTAACCTTTTTTGAGACAGGGATTTGCTGTGCAGTTCTGGCTGGCCTTGAGCTCACTTGGTAGCCCAGTCTTCCTCGAAATTACAGCAATCTTCCTGCCTCTGCCTCCCAACTGCTGGGATTAAAATTGTGCACCAGAATGCCTGACCAAAATAAGTACAACTCTTGAAGGCATAAGCATAGGCAAAGACTTTCTGGACAGAACCTCAGTTGCACAAAAAATACTAAGAGTCAGCAAATGCAATCACATCAAATTAAAAAGCTTTTGCACAGCAAAAGGGGAAAAACCTTGCCAGCTAGTCCTCAGACAAACACGAATATATAAAATACAGGAAAAGTTAAAAAAAATTTAGACCCTCAAATTTTTTTATTTGTCTCTTGTTTTCTTTTATTACCTTTTCTTTTTTTTACCAACACTTACTTTAAAGAGACTATAGCAATACTTGATATGACATTAGAAGCAGTATGCATTTAGGAGACCAAAATGACAGGTATTTCAAGCATGGTTTTAGTATTACACATTGCTGTCCTCAGTGTAGTTGCTTAGTTCCCAGATATTAAAGCATATAGAATTAGTCAGGGTGAGAATTCTGCCTATTAACTGCTATTTTCAAAAACCTGATGGAGATTCTTAGGGCCACTACCTTAATCATCTTGTTTATATAAATGTATGGTTTTGCTCCCGCCATATTTCCTAACTTTTCTCCTTGCTCTCTCTCTCTTTGGTGTTTAATCCTTAAGTTTTCACTTTCCATTTAACTGTGTTATACCTTTCAATTGTTATTTCTTTGAGTTCTTAACACTAGAGAAGACCCCCAAATTTAAAGACCCAATAAAAAGGCATCTGAAATGAATAGACATAACTTAGAAGAAGAAATACAAATGGCCAATGAATACATGAAAAAATGTTCAACATCACTGGCCATTCAAGAAATGCAAATTTAAAAATCTCCACAAAGAATGATGACCAACAAAAAATCCACCAGTAACAAATCCTGCAGGCTGTCAGGAGCGGGGAGGCCATCTTCATGGTTGGTGGGAATGTGGACTGTACAACCACTATGGAAATCAGTGTGGATGTTTCCCCCCCAAAACAGCAGAAATCCTATTTGACTCAGCTACTCCACTCTAGGTATTTTTCTAAAAAAGTTAAAGACACAGTATCATACTGTTGTATGTATACCCCATGTTTATAGCAGCACAACTTATAATAGATAAATTTTGGCAACAGCCTATATGTCCATCAGCAGATGAATGGATAATGAAAATAGGGTATTTATGCATAATGGAGTACTTCTCTGCCAGAATAAATGATAAACTTGAAGCTGGCTGTGGTGATGCACGTCTGTAATCCCAGCACTCAGGAGGTTGAGGCAGGGGGCAGGGGGAGGATCACAGTGACTTCAAGTCCAGCCTGAATAACATAATGAGTTCAAAGCCAGTCTGGAATATCAAGACTCTGTCTCAAAAAAGTAAATAAAGAAATAAAATAAACTCAAGCCTTTTGTTGGAAAATTGGCGTACTTCCTTGCGATCATAATGTTAACTAAGGTAACTGAAGCACACAGACTTAACATCACATGCTTTCTCTCATACGAGAAGCTTAAGATATAAACAAGCTGTATGTGCTAGAGCTGGCCCCACCCCCGGGCACACTGAGCGGGCCACAGACATCAGGCATTGTGGCACCTGCCAGTAATCCCAGCACTGGGGAGGCTGAAAACAGGAGAATCACTACGAGTTCCAGCTCTGTAGTGAGACCTGCTACCAAATACATTAAAAAAAAAAAAGAAAGACAATAGGAAAAATAGAGGAAAAAAAGTTAAATGATATAATCAAGCAAGGCCAGAGTATCTAAATGTGTACCTTGACTTAGGGTAGTTGTCTTATATGTTTTTGGCCTGTTGATCTGGGCAGTAATCTGTATTTGTGGTAATTAACTTGATAAGGATTTACAAATAAGTGAATCTAATGCAGACAAAAAATTTCTTTAGGGGTAGGTGGAAGGAAAGGGGAAGAAAGCTTAAGATGTGTTCTGTACATGTACCAGTTCCCTGCAATGAATATCATCATGTACTGCAGACATGTACTAATAAAAATTTTAAAAATTAATAAGTATTAATCAGGATCTTGTGATCTCACAATAGTTTTATAATTGCTTAGGTTATGATCTGGGGCTTCTCTTCCTGTGTCAAAATTGACCTTCACTGAAGTGAATAAACTTATTCCTCATAGCAAAGAGCAAAAATCAAAACATAATAAAAATATCCCTCTGCACACTGCTTTGGAGTTATCATTTAAAAAATGTATGTGTATTCCTATAATTGTGTTTAGTGAAATTCTGTATTATTTCTAATGGTTTTTGGTTTTTGTTTTTACTATTTTTTGTTCCCTTTGAAAAAAATAGTAAACACAGTTTGGTTCTCAGGAGTTTTCATTTAGTTATTGATTTAGTTTTATCTTAGAGTATGATTACTTTGGGAATTTTTATATCTCTGCTCTTTTTTGCTTAATAGCAAAATCCCATTGGCTTCTCAATTTCAGTGTCCAAGCCAGTATGAATTATATAAAACAGCATTAATTTACTTTTACACTAGTCAAATTAGCATTTCAAAAGATTGGTCTTGTCCTTTTCAAAAATCACTTAATATTACTTAATATTTAATTATTTAATACTTAATATGAATTACTTAATTATTTCAGAGGTGTCTGAGAAAATTAATAGCACACTTAGCATTAGGGAAGAATTTTAAGGCCCCAAATTTTTTTTTTAAAAAAGAACTCTGATGTTATTTATTTATTTATTCATTTATTTATTTTTTGGTGGAACTGGGGATTGAACTCAGACCCTTGTGCTTGCCAGGGAAGCGCTTATTCCACTGAGCCATCTCCCCGGCCCCCATGGCCAGAACTTTTGATAATAAGCACACTTACTTAAACAATATTTTTTTAAGTCTTTTCCAAAAAGCTGGGTATTGTGATACATGATTGTAATCCAATGTACTCAGTATGCTGAGGCAGGAAAATCATTGCAAGTTCAAGTCTAACCTGAGGACCTTAAAAGAAATGTTTTCAAAATAAAAAATAAAAATGGGCCAGGGATGCAGCGCAGTGCTCCTTGGGCTCAATCCCCAATTACACACACACACACACACACACACACACACACACACACACAATAAATGTTTTTCCTAAAACATACACTTTAAAATGTCTATACATACTGTTCAGAAAAATACTGATACTTTTTCCTAGTTATTTAATCATTGTTGATTAATACTTGCTTTCAAAACTGGGAACCTAGGCCAGCCATGGTGCTATATGCCCGTGGTCTGAGCTACTCTTGACTGAGGCAGGAGGACCCAAAGTTTGAGGTTAACCTGGGCAGCTTAGGGAGAACCTAGCTCAAAATAAGGCCAATGTTTTTCCTATATTTAGCACAAGGTCTACAGGGTCTCACTAGGTAGATCGGACTCATAGTGATCCTCTTGTGTTCAGTGTCCCAAGAGCTGTGATTAGAGGCACGCGCCACCACACCAAGTCTCAATCGCAGTCTCAGAGCACCCCGGGAGTGGGGGCAGCATAGCATACTGGGGATTGGACCCCCGGCCGCTGCACTCTGCCTAAGCAGGCGCTTCAGTCCACTGAGCTATCTAGCCAGCCCTAAAATAAGGACACTTAACAAAAAAAATTACAAGAAGGGCTGCAAATGTAGCTTAGTGCTTGCCTACATGCATAGCCTTAAGTACCCGAGAACATACACATATGCATCCATAGAACCCAAGGCTAGGGGTTCAGTAAGGCCAAGGGTTCAAGTCCCTAGTACCACAGGGGAGGGGAAAACCCTTTGAGGAATTGCTCCTTTAAGTGGGTTCTTTTTTTTTTTTCTTTTTGGTGGAACCAGGGATTGAACTCAGGCCCTTGTGCTTGCCAGGGAAGCGCTTATTCTACTGAGCCATCTTCCCAGCCCCAATACTCCTTTAATAAAATCATAAGAAATATATAAGTGAAAACAGAGTATGGCTCATGAAATCTCTGTGATCATAGTGCAGAAATGTAACCCTAATGTCTAGAGGAAATTATACATAGATGAATCACACGTTCAACGTGCTAACGGGCTGCGTCATGAGTGTAGGTGCCTCCCACTCTGGTACATGGTTCTTTCCTCAGTGAAGTTGCATTGCTCATTTGATTAATGACTTGAAAGAAAGTATCTTGGATGTCATTCTCAATTTGCAGAAATATTAAGCCTGGAAAATTAATAATCTAATTATTGAGCAATAGAACCAGTCTAGGAAAAAGATCTTATAAGTGATAGTCATTCCACACTTGGGGCAAAAATATCTAGTTGTATTAGATTAAAGGAGAAATGATTTAACAGTAAAAAGCTTGTTTAATTAATTGAAACTCATTTAAAACTCAGTGGGAATATATATATATATATATATATATATATAATATATATATATATTATATATATATATATATATTCCACACACAACCTATATAGATTCAAGAAGAAAAGTGCTCTGACATTTAGTTTTACAGAATAACACTGCTATATTCTTTCCTTGAGGCTATTCCAAGTGTTTATGAAATTGACACAGATAATAATGTAGAATTTGAAGAAATGTAGAAGAATTTGGGATGGAGAGAACATGACACAATACTTGAACTCATTAACTTCAAAGATTTCTTCCAACCTGATATTTAATGCTGTGAATTAGTACGTCCTCCAATGAATACAAAAGAATACTATACATTTTCTTTTTGAATCACAAAATTTTTTAGAATAGAAGACTCTCACAAATACTTTAAAATCTTAAGATTCTTGCTCACCTTAGTTCTGTCAATACTTTCAGCCCATTTTATACCATGTCTTGCAATTAAGTTGGTTGGACAGGCTGCACAAGCACGAAAGTATCCACGAGCTAAAATGGGGAGACTTCCGAGCCATTCCTAGTTAATGGCAGCATCCGTCCCTCCGTTCGATGTGAGTTTATGCCCCATTCATCTCACATTACAGATGATCTCAGCCTCGGTGGCATCATCGCTGCGGTAGTAGCTGTGGTCTTACTCATTTGTGCATGTGGCCTCGGTGTGTGCTATGCTCAGAGAAAAGGCTACTTTTCAAGTAAGTGAATTCCACCTTTCTCTTATACATGATTTTCTATAGATGTAGTTTTCTGGTGAGATATTGTTTTCTCCTAAGAACTTCGAACAAATTCTGGAGTATATTTTTCATTGATTTTTCTGCTATAGATAATGTCCAAGATAACACACAAGAAGGTTATAAAGTAGATAGGTAGCCATAGAGAGGGCAAAAAAGCTTTTTTTTTTTTTTTCTGCCTTTGGTGCAGAATTTCAAGCAACACCATAAAATATGTAACGGGCAGATATTCGGTGTATACAGATATTTACAGCATAAGTACATATCTAAGACCTTTTAAAGTTTGAGATTGCATATTCCCTTTCTCCTTCCCTCCTTCCCTCCCTTACTCCGTCCCTTCCCTTCTTTCCTTTCTTAGAGGTACTGGAAGCAAATCAAGGTCCTTGCACTAAGGGCCAGGGCTCTATCATTGGGCTACGTCTCCAGCCCAGGAATTTTACATCTGGATTTATATTGCTTTCTAGTCTTCATTGAAATCCACCAGTGAAGTATTTTATTAGTGAAGCGTGGAATGTTGAATGTCAGACTTAGCACAATTGTAGAATAGAATTGTTCAATCAAAGCTAGAAACAAGCCAGGCATGGTAGTGCAGGTCTGTGATTTCAGTGCTCCAGGGAACTAAGGCAGGAGGATGGAAGTTGGAGATCACCTTGGTTATCCTAGTGCTTTTGAAAGACTGTGTATCAAAAGTATGATTAAAGGCATGTACTGGTACAAATTCCTGTGATGAATACGGTCATTATGTATCCTCAAATTTTACCAATAAATGTAATTAATTTAAAAAGAAGAGAAACCACAAAAGTAAATTTTTAAAAATTAAATTAAATTTTAAAAATTAAGAAGGGCTGAGATGGAGCTCAGTGCAAATGCCCTGCATTCATTTCCCAGTATAAACAAATGAGTAAATAATTTTATTAGAAATAGCTCTGAAAAAGGGTTCTAGTTTCTAAAGTTTAGACCCTTTATAACTTCTAACTCCATTTTATGATATAATAGATTTGATGTAAATGTTGAAATTTTAAAATGTTTCATACTTTTAGTGCAGTTTTTCATTTCCAGTTTTTAAATATCTTGAAAGCTCAATGCCACAGAACCATTAACTTCACCAGCAATAATGTATACAGTTGAATTTTTAAATGGAACAATCAAGTTTATAGCTCAAAAAATTTTAAACCTTTTGTTTTATAATGGGTATTAATTTTACAATTTAGTAGTAGAAAAACAAATTTAAAAGGGGTTTCTAATGATAGGAATAAATAGATCTTATATGTCATAAAATGTTTCCATGAACATAGAGTCAAGGAGATTCCTTATAATTAAGAATAACTTCTGTGAATTAATAGTATTGCTCTGGAAGTGGTAACAAACCTCTGGCACACAGGCCACAGCCAGCTATCTGTCATCACTGAAACCTCTACAAGGGTTGCTGTCCTTAGTACAGAGTATAGTGCTGCATCTAGGCCAGTATTAATGTTAATTTCATGAATGGACTCTAACTGTGTCCCCCTGCTGGTCCTCAGTGAGAGTACAGCCAAAGAAGATTGTACTCCACAATTTTTGTCATTCTTTTCTATAGTTGCAAAGATACTTGCTTTTTAATGAATAATAATATTTTTCTTAAAACATTTAATTAAAGAGCTGACTCATCAGATGTTCACAATTTACTGAGAATACTGCTCTCATTTTCATCTGGTAGAAAACCTACCCAAGAGAACCTTATTTTTCAACTTTAGTTTGGGACAGGGGTTTGAACAATGTCCTATGGCTCAATGCAGTCTTCTACCTGATTTTATATGGTCTGTAAGATAAGAATGGTTTGTACAAATGGAACTTGCTGTTATTTGATGGGCGAGGGGTGGAATACCAGCATTGAACCCCAATTAAAAGAAGTGTTAGCTTCTAAAAATGCATTTTTCTTCTAATTAGGCTTGTGTTATAATGGTTTGATTATTCTTATATTTTGAATTTCATCAAATAAAGTTGTATAAATTTGTTTTCTCTCTAGTTCTGTAAGTACTTATAGAGTATCCTTGATTTTTGTCTGTGGGCCCACAAACCAAAAATACTCATTGTGTGGCTTTTTATAGAAAACATTTGCCAACTCTTCATTTAGAAGGTGCTGATGTTAGCAAGTGGGTTGAAGATTTAAAAGAAATTAAGCCAAGATTCATTTTTTATGAATATGTCACATCATATTAATTCCTGCAATAATGATATGTACTTTTTCTTTTGTAGAAGAAACTTCCTTTCAGTAAGTATAATTTATTAAAATGCATCCCTTTTTATCATATCAACTAATATTCTGATAATTGTCCATTTGAAGTCAAAAGTAGCACATCAGATTTTAATACAGATTTAATCCTTTGGGAAGTTATTCAGTTCATCATAAAATACATCCTACCTTGTACCTCAGGCCTACATGTCAGCAATGATTAACTAGAAAAGAAACATGGTTGCTAACTTTCCTTGTAGGTCTTTCCATAGTTTTGCTTTAAAAAACCTTGCATTTATTGTGTTAATGTAAACTTAAAAGTTCAGATAAAATTGTAATCATTACTTTTAAATGAATAATGCTTTTGTGCTCAACACTATTCTAAGTAAAGCAGTGAACATGACAGGCAAAAAGAAAAAACCCACAAAATGCTGCTTTATACAACTTAGTCTAGTCAAGAAAGTTAGCAAGTACATAAATATGTATATGATAGAGATGTCAGATTGTGTTAAGTACTGTGGAGACCAGCTAATCAGGAGGCTGAGGCAGGAGGATTTCAAGTTGAAGGCCAGCCTGGGCAGCATAGTGAGACCCTCTCCAAGAAAGAAAAACAAAGACAAAGAGAGGGGGAGGGAAAGAGTGGTAAAGTAAGAAAAAAATTATAGAGCTTTACAGTGGAGATTATGGTTTTTAGATATTTATTTATTTATTTATTTATTTATTTATTTATTTATTTATTTTTTGTTGCTGAGGATAGAATGCAGGACCCTGTGCATGCAAGGCAAGCACTTATGCTGCTGAGCTATCTCCCTGACCCTGAGATTATGGTTTTTAAATAGGTGGTAGAAAAGGGCTTCATGGAGAAGGACCTCAAGGAAATAAGCAAGTTGCACAGAGATTTGTGAGAAAAGTGTTCATATAGAGGAGAGACAACAAACAGAAGTTGCTCAGGGCCAGGATGACTAGAATGTCTGAGGAGCAAAAGGATAAGAGTGTGACTGGGACAGACTGCAGGACAGAAAGAGATGGGTGCAGAGTTGCAGGGACCAGATTATACGCAGATCCTACGAGGCAGTTTTGCAGAGTTCGGTTTTGGTTCTGAGTTAAATGGGAAGTCACTGGTAGGCTCTAAGTGGATGGGCAGTGTCTTAATTCTTCAGACCTCACACTGGCTGCTCTAATTAGAGTAACTGATGAGATGCAAAGCAAGCAGACTAGTTAGGAAACTACTGCAATAACTGAGACAAGAGAAAACAGTAGCTGAAATTGGAGAGGTTGACAAGTGATAGGATTCTAGATATGGTTTTAACAGTGTGCTCATCTGCTGGATATGTGCTGTGAAAAAAAGGCAAGACATGGGTGGTGGCACCAAGGTTCTAAGAGAGATATACTAAACTAGAAATTCCACTTACAAAATTGTGGAAGATTTCGGGAGCAGGCTTGGGAACAGTGAAGGGGTGGGTGGAGAGGAGGTCTGCAGTGCTTAGAATTTTCATAGTGAGCGCATTAGATTTCCAAGTAGGATAACCAACAAATGACCAAATATATGCACCTGGAGTTTGGGGAAATAACGGAAATGTGGGAGTCGATGGTGCATGAGATATGGACGAGCTGTCAAAGTCCAAGTGTATGGCACTGATGCAGGACAGTCCTTGCTGTACAAGATATGGTAGACCGAGCTGGAGACCTAAGGGCACAGTCTCTACCCCCAGCTGCCATGGCTTCAGATCCTTTGTCATCTAAATCCTTCAAAGACTCAACTGTCTTTGACTCCCTGTTCCTGTATGCCTGGCTCAACACTGGTCTCTCAGCGTCCCTGTATCCCAGTACAAAGCCAGGATGAAGTCTCTGTTATCAAGACTAATAGTAGCATAAGAGATGCATTCAGAAGAGCAGGGCAGCCTGGATTGTGGACACCACCTCACCTCATCCCACTTGTAGATGCCAGGCAATTATGAGAGCCCCCACTTTTATAGTATAACATGCTAAGTTACTGGAATGTTTGCAGCAGAGGAAAGGTAGCATCTTATGTAAGCAGTAAAAGTTTCTATTTCCCTTCATCAGTAATCCTTCAAACTAGGTAGTTAACTGGGAAAGGAGCATCTTTATTCTTTGACCCCTTTCTCCCATGTGTTAAATCTGTAGCCTTCGAAATCTGTTCACCTTCTGCTAGGATCCTAGTTACCATGTGAAACTTTCCACAAATGAAAATGAACTTTAAAATTATAATTAAATTTTTAAAATGTTTAAAGTTGTCAGGTGTGGTGGCACACACCTGTAGTCCCAGCACTCCGAAAGCTGAGGTGTTGAGGCAGGAACATCAGTCACTATGAGTTCAAGGCCAGCCTGAGCTACAAGGTGAAACAGTCAAAAAAATAAAATAACAAAATGGAATACTGAATGTTAGTATGTTAAAAGTCTGTCTTCTTTTTGTATTCCACAAAAAATTGTTAGTATATTAGCATTAGCTAATATAGAGGCATTTAGAGGAACAAGTATTCACATACACTAATATTACACCATGATAAAGGTACTATATCAGGAATTTGTAGAACAACTGCAGGAAGTGACCTTTATACCATTGTTTTCTCTGGTGGCATATTCCATTACTGGTCTACCTCTTTAATATCCCAGGGACTGGCACTTTTTAGCTCCATTTGCTAGATGAGGAAATTAAGTCACAAGTTCTCACAGGGTAACAGCGGTGGTGGCGCTGGAACCTGGCACCTTGCTTCTGGCAAGCTGTAATATTAGTGTATGTGAAAGCATGGCTTTCTCTGTGAATACTCTGTATAAATCTAAGAAATTCAGTTCATTGATTTTTATCCACCTCGCTAAGATAAATATACATCTTCCAGCTGAGATATGGAGTGCCCTAAGTGATACTATGTTTCAGAACTGGATATGACCATGTAGTAAATATTGTCTTTTATATCCTGCAAACAGGAAAGGGAGTGCTACGTCACATGTGACTACAGTGAGTGAAAATGTAAGTATCGCTAGAGCCGGTTTATAGAATGGATGTGTCCAGGGAATAAGGCAGGGCAATGACATGATTATATGGAAGTTGTTAAGTTTCACTCTTAAATTTGTGTTAATATCAGTGACTGTGTATTTAAAAGGATCTAAATAAATGCTAGCTTCCTTTCCCTGCCTGGGATGGCATGATAAACATACTATACCTGGCATGTGTAGAACAATTGCAGGAAGTGACCTTTATACCATTGTTTTCTCTGGCAGTTTTAGCTCCATTTGCTAGATGAGGAAATTAAGGCACCAGTTCTCACAGGGTAACGGTGGTGGCACTGGAGTCTGGCACCTTCCTTCTGGCAAGCTGTCCAAGGACACTCCTTTCAGCAGCTCTGGGAGTCTAAAACCTGCCTTTGATTATAAAGCACTTGGAAATTCCAGGAATATGAAATAGCCGCTGCTGTTGCTCAAAAAAATATTTGAGAAATGCTTGAAAAGCATGTCATAAAACTCAAATGGTTTAGAGAAAATAAGTTAGATCATATTTGTCAATACTATATTTGTAACTATAACATTGCTTCAATTTTGTAGTTCTTTTGGTAGATAATCAACCTTCTTAGTTATTTTTTTCAGGAATGAGAGAAGTTTCTAGTGTTTATAGAGGCCTAAATCCTTTGAGGATGAAGTTGTTTCCTTAGGACTTTATAATTTCTTAGTACTTTGGAACAGGGTCCCAAGTTTCCCTTCAGTAGAGTATGGTACATCAGTGGACATCAGTATTTTTAATGCTTTAATGGTTCTAATGAATTAGTAATTAACAGGCATTCCCTGCTTCATAAAAATCTTTCCCATAATTTGATTTTTAAAAACCTTTGATGGAAGCCATCAAATTTTGTAGTTTCCCACCCTGCCAGTATCCTCCTTTTTGGTTAGGGAATAGGCACTGTATTCCTGTAAGTTGTATTTGTTCTTACAGTTTGTAGAAAGAACTTAGGCATGAACTACAATAACCCCACCTAGCAAAATAGTAAGAGGCACTTTGTGTCTAAATCAAAAAGAAAAGGCCTTTTTATCTTCCTCTCTCATTTGATTCATTAGCTCAGAGCCAGGCTCCTTGCATTCTGTTTTGCCTGTCACCATAACTGTGAGCCACCGTCTCTGTGTAGGGAGCGCACAGCACAGCCCTGGCCTCCACTAACTCGACACCGGCACATCTCTGACACGTTTTCCTTGCTCTCACTTCCCATCGGCCTTCTCACACTTAACTTCAAGTACTGTGTCTTCCAGTATATACCCATTTAGTCCCCAATAAAATAAATTTAAATATATACTTGTATGTACCTAAGATTTTTATAATGGATATATTTTTAAAATGACTTAACATGTCTTTAAATTTGAATTCATACTTTTTCTGTTTTCTTTCTTAGGATTTCAAGCACACAAAATCCTTTATAATTTAAGAAATCCACCTTTGAGATTCACCAAAACTACAGTTGTTACCCAAGTTATTAAAGTATTATAAAACAGTCTTGTCTTACATTTGGGAAGATGTACAAGAGGAAGTGAAACTGGTATTTTACTGTAACTTTTATGACCTTTAGCTCACTGGAAATTATTTTAACAATTCTGTCATCACCTAAAACACAACCTGGTTTCTTGCATCTAGATGAAAAAAAACTCCACCAAAATACCTTGTAGTAATATGGGATTTGTGAAATATTAACAAATATCCTAACTCCTGGAGAAAGAACTGCTGTATACTGATTGTGAAGTTAATCCACAAATTACGAACTGCACATATCCTCTGTACGTCTTAGGAGGGTTCAGAAAACACTGACATGTGAAAGGAAGCCTGTCTCATTTCTCCCAGAATCTTCTTGTCTCCACAAATACAATCCTTAGGCTGTTGCTCATTTATCACTAAAGTATCTACAGAAGGCAGGTAGTGGGGCTGGATTTGTACTTTCTGCTTACTTTTACTGCTGAGATTCAAGAACCAGAGTAAAGCACACTCCCCCTTCTGTCTCACAGACATCCTAATTTTGAGACTCAAACACAAAGCCACGGGGCTTACTCACCTCTCCCATTTCCCCAAGATCTCTCGAAGCACACCAGGGAGCTGGACATCAGAACTGGCCCCTACAGCCTGCCCTCCTTTGCAGATACCTTTCTCTGCCTGAGTGTTGACTTCATAATTCTGTCCTTAAAAACCAGGCAATGAAATTGTGGGCTGGTCTGTACCCTGTGTGGTTATGGTCAGGGGACTGCCAATCCTTCCTATGGCAGGAATACTGAGGGGAGAAATAAGAATGAACTCACTGTACAACTCCCTACATTTGGTACCTCGCTTGACACATAGGAGGCGCATGAGACCATGTCTGAAATTAAAAAACATAAATGGGTCTAGCATGTTTTCTCAAATATAAGCAATAATGATGCTATGTTTTAAAAGCATTATCTTTCAGAACTGATTTTGATCATTCATTCCATATTAAAAACAATCCAAGGTACGCCCTGTTCTAGGCAAATCTGGATGTGAAGATCACTTACTACCTTCGACAACATTGAGAAAAGTTAATTTACTTCAAAGGAACCTGCTTTTACCTAGTAGGCAAAGCAGATGCTCAGGATTCCCAAACCGAAGCCTCATGTGCACCTGGGCACCAGGTCTCTGGGAAGACGCCTGTTGTCAGCCTGTTCTCTGATGTGACGCTCACTGCTTCTCACAAGACTCCTTTCTGGAAGTCTGGCCTCTATTACATGGCTTCATCCTCAAAGTCAAATTATCACTATATTAGTCATGGGTCAATAGACACTTTCTATAAAGCACAAGATACTGGATATTTCAAGCCATATGGTTCCTGTACTAGTTGAGTCTGCCATTGCAAGAGCAGCCACAGACAAGAAAGCTCATGTATATATCTGCTTTCCAACAGAACTTTTATTTCCAATAATAGGCAGTCAGGATTCAGCTCCCAGGAAGTTTCTCAACCCCTGGTAGCACATAAGAAACACCTGTCTGGTTGGGTGTGGCGGTGCATGCCTGTAATCTCAGCACTCAGGAGGCTGAGGAAGGAAGATCACTTTTGAGTCTGAGGCCAGCCTAGGCTACATAGTGAATTCAAAGCCAGCCTAAACTACGTGACTAGATTCTGTCTCAAATAAACCCAACCTAAAAATCTGGCCTATGGTTTAACTGACAGATTTTGGTTTCTTAAGCCATGTTTTCTTCTTGCTTTGCCAAGCCCTCAAGGGAATGGCTGACTCTCAAGGACGTGTCTTCTGGCGCACATAAATCACAATCAACTGCTTCAGTTATAGAAATCTGTATTTCTAGAGAAAAGTTACGTGGTGCCTTAATTTTACTAATAGATTCTTAAGACATGAAGGTCTAGAGGATTTATTTTACACAGTATAAACATCTAATGCCGTTTTTGTGCCAAGTATGTGTATCTTAAACACTGTATACACCCAAGCGGAAAAAAAAAAAAATCATTGTGTAAAGAATGCCTTCTACACAAAGGACACAGTATGAACGCTAGTGTTCTAATTATTAAAAGTACATCTGTGTGTCACCAGTGTCCAGACTTGAGTTTCCTTTTTTTTTTTAATTTGAAACACTTGAATACTAACAATTGGTAAAATCCCATTGTAATTCTTTGAGCATTTTCATTTCATTTTCCTGCAGTGAAATTGTGTTGCCTAAAGATTAGGGCTCAAGAATCTTTAACAACAAGCTTTGTTTTAATATTGTTGCTGTTTGTAACCAGATTCAATTTATTTTTAGTTGGGATTTTAATCTAAGTAAATCTGGAATGATTGCTTTTCAAGATAGCCTCGAAGAACTTCCTTCATCCAACAGCTGGCTTTGTTTGATTGAAATCTACATTAATAAAAATAGCTAAACTGGTGAAACTTTTAAAATCCATTTAACAGGGGCTGGGGAGATGGCTAAGCGCAAGGGCCTGAGTTCAGTCCCCAGTTCTAGAAAAAAAAGAAAAAAATCCATTTACTAGTGCAGGGGAAGTGTCTTCCACTGACTGTTGTACAATAAAACCCAGGAAACTACCCCCTTAGCATCTGCAGATACAAGGCTTGCTCTTTAGCCACCTAGGAGCAGAATCTCCTATCTCAGCCTGGAGGCCTGCCAACTTGTCAAATGCTGCCACAGAAAGCTCAAGAGACAGAAATGAAAGAGAGGAAGAGAAGGAGAGATGTTTTAAAATGAACCGTCAGCTCCTAGTTTAATCTTTTTAAAAAGTGCCTTTATAGAGCCTCCTCCCTCATTATCCCCAAACTTTTCTTCTAGAAATTTGTAAATAAAACTACACTTAAGCTTCTGAGAAAGCTAGGATTTAAAAAAAAAAAAAGTGTAATTTCTTCTAGCTCTTGGGAACCTCAGGCAGGAGTATCTCCATTTGCTTTATTATAACCAAACAAAAAGACAACCCTAAAACAAGTCAATACACTCAAATATAGGTTCAGCATCATCAAATAATTTATTTGAAATCAGAATTAAAAGAACATGGATGGTTGTGAAATTTATGTTTATTTTGATATGTATTATGTCACAAATCATGACAAACTACCAAGTCAATTTCACATTATTTCTTCAAGCCTGAGGTTTGTCGATGACTTCAAATTTAGGATCTAAAGGGAAAAAAGCTCCAGTCAGCTTAGCCATTCAGCAATATATTGAATTATCTAGAATGAGATTAAACTCATGGATCTTCTAAATGATCTTTTAATGAGCAATTTTTCTACACTTCTACACAGCAATACAATAGAACACTTAACACTTCCTATGAGTGAGGCTCCACCAGCTACATCTACCATATGCTTTTAACTCCAACTACCGTATGAACTCTAGCTCCCCCCAAGTGCTTTTAACTCCAACTACCGAATGAACTCTAGCTCCCTCCAAGTGCCCGATGGAGATCACACAGCTAGAAATAATACTGTCGGGATTCAGGCACAAGCATTTGGACTTCAGAACTTCATCATTCAACCAGTAAGTTATGGAATCCTCTTATACTCGTGACAAACATCTGATAGCTTCTACATATCGTAGTCCTAATAAATCTTACATGTATTTAACCCTCTAAATAATTAAAAAAAGTATAAACACTCCATTTGAAACAGTTCCCTCTAAGCACCAATCTGGGATGAGAAACTTACCTTCAAATTTGAAGCTAGGGAATGTGTTCATGTCTGCTTTACCATACATTTGCTTAAGCTTAAAAAGCTCTCTCTCCAGATCTTGCTGATATTCTGGGCCAGTATCAACAGGTCCTCCAGATGCCCTGTTATATACAGGAGCAAATAAAAACTAACTGTATCCACAAGTTTAAAAAAGCAAAATTACTCCGTACTATCAACAGACCTTTTAAAGGTATTCATGTAGGAAAAGGACTTTCAGAATAAAAATGTTATTTCCACTTGAATTTCAACTTGGCTATTTTAATACAATGAGATTTCACATTAAAAAAACAACCTAAACAAATCCAGTACACAAGGTTTGTTAGTGTCAAAGATACATACCAAGAATCTCTCAGGGTCTGAGTATAACCAGGTATTTACAGGGTCTGGCGTAAAGAGCTGGCTGCATTTGGGTGTCGGCTCTACCACTTAGTAAAATGGCACACCAATGCAAAGTGTGAAGCTAAACTCTAGCTTCTACGTATAAAAATGAAGGTCCTACATAACAGAGGGAATTAAAGAGAGAATGCACTGTAGTGAACACTCAGCTTTATTATCATCTGCATTATTTTGGCCATCAAAGTGGCATTTAAGACAGGCATTGTGACAGCCCCGATCGTGGGAGGCCTAGAATGTTAGGCCTAGGAGTTTATATCTTATTTGCTAAGCAATAAAATGACAGAAGCATTGTGCTTTGGAAAGAGTAATACAGCAGCATCATAAAGAAGCAGCTGAACCACACAGTAATATAGTTATTCTCTGACAAAATCTGTGTTGTAAGCATTACTGCCTTCCTATCGATGAGTACCATAAGCCAAAAAAACTTACAAGTGAACATTCCTTTAAGGGTCATAATATTTTCCCACATGTCCCAATTTTCAAAAAATTGGAGAATTTATATTAAGAGAATTTCTATGAAAAGACATAGACCAAGTTGTTTTTTGTTTTGTTTTGATTTGATTTTGAGACAGGGACTTACTATATAGTTCAGGTTGGCCTGGAACTCACCATATAGCAGAGGTTGGCCTCTACCTTGCGGCAATCTTCCTGCCTCAGCCTGAGAGCTGGGATACCAGGAATGCACCACTATGCCCACCTTTAGAACTTAATATATGTATGTGTGTATGTGTGTAAGTGTTAGTAGAGATTAAACCCAGCTACATCTCTAGTCCTTTTTGAGACAGGGTCTTACAAAGTCATTAGGGGACTAGACAGCCCTCAAACTTGTAATCCTCCTGCCTCAGCCTCTAGATTAGCTTAGATTAACACACACAGGCCACATCTGACTAACCAGTATATGACTTCTGTTATGGATCCTTTCTTTTTGGTCAGCACTGTCCAATAGAAATTCCTAGGGCCAGCCAGATAGCTCAGCGAACTGAAGTGTCTGCTTAGGCAGAGTGCAGAGGCCAGGAGGGTTCATTCTGGTGTGCTGTGCTGGCCCCGCCCCCAGGATGCGCCAAGACTGAGATTGAGACTGGGCATGGTGGCATGCGCCTGTAATCCCAGCACTTGGGAGGCTAAAAACAGGAGGATCAGTACAAATCTGATCTACATGATGAGATGCTGTAGACCCTATACTAAAATACATGAAAAAATAAAAATAAGTTCCTGTGGTGACAGAAATGCTCTAACTAGCCATATCTGGATATTGATGACTAGAAACATAGCTAAGGTGACCAAAGAACTGAATTTCATATTTATATTTAACTGCAGTTAAAAATAGAATTTCCATAGTCTCGTGGATAAAGGCCAACATAATGCACAATACAACTTAAATATGGCAGCACCTTAAACAGACACTCTAGGAGCTGTCTTCCAGCTCAGGTATACGCAAAGCTACAGCAGCTTTTTCAGAAGCAGCAGTGAGTCCTCACAATATGATGGTTATGGTTACTTTTTTTTGTATTTTAGGGAAGGGTCTACAGGGTGTTCAGGGTCTCACTACTAGATCAGACTCGTACTAATCAGCCTGTTTACAGCCTCCCAAGGGCTAGGACTACAGGTGGGCACCACCACACCGTCTCAATGGCCATCTCAGCTCGCCCCGTGGGGCAGGCCGGCTCGGCAGGCCTGGGGAATTGAACCCGGCCCCTGTGCCTGCTTGCAGGCACTTTAATCCACTGAGCTATTTGGCCAGCCCCTGATTATGGTTACTGATGGGTAACAGTGATTCTAATTTTAATATGCACTTTCATAATAAAAAATGGGGGCTGGAAAGGCACAAGGACCCTGGTTCAATCCTTGGTGCCGCACGCTGCGCTGGTCCCAGAACCCCAGGCACACGAAGCCAGTCACCACTGGGCATGGTGGGGCATGCCTGTGATTCCAGCACTGGGGAGGCTGAGTCAGGAGGATTACTAGCTGTGTAGTGAGATTCTGTGCCAAATAAATAAAGATTATTTTTAATTAAAAAAATTTAAAATGGACATATACAGTCTATCTCATCAATCAAATATGACTTTGAAACAGGGTTTCTCTATATTATTCAAACTGACCTAGGGTCACAATGTAGCTTAGGTTGGCCTCAAACTTGCAGCGATCCTCCTGGCTCAACCTTCCAAGCATGTTGGGATTATAGGTGTGCGCCACCACACCCACACTAAATATGTCTCTCTGTCCACCTTGCTTATTATCTAAGTTTTTCTTTCAAAGAGACTAGGACAAAGTAGACTGGAGATAGAAGTTTGCTTCATTTTGCAAGAACCAGGAATGCTGACTTATGGAACTATTCACTCTTACTCCTATGACATAAGTACTGTTATCATCATCCCCACTTATATATAAAGAGACTATGATTCAAGATTAATTAACCTGCCCGAGGTTATACCGCTAATAAATGGCACAGCCAGATCCCAGCCCTGGCAGGGTCTGCGCTCAGAACACCTCGCCATGAGGGTGCTTGCACAAACCACTTTAGATGGGGCCAGTGTAAACCTGAGAACTAACTCATCAGATAAACCTATCAGGACAATTAAGGTGGAAACAGCCTCAAAACTAAGATGCCACAACACCTCTGGAGAGAAGACAAATTTCTCAACCAGTTCTACATATCTGCTTACTAAACTGTGCTTTCTGGCAAATCCAAACTTTTCATTATAAAACAGGAATAACATTTGCAGGTTGTAAGAATTTTACCAGGGGCCAGCAAGATACCTCAGTGGACTAAGCACTTGCTTTGGCAAGCACAGGGACCAGGGTTCAATGCCTGGTCCCACATGCCACACCAGCCCCGTCCCTGGAGCACACTGAGCAGGTCACAGAGAATGGGCATGGTGGCTCACGCTTGTAATCCCAGCGCTGGGGAGGCTGAAAACAGGAGGATCATTACAAGTACGAGCTGTACCAAATACATTAAAAAAAAAATAAAGAATTTTATTCATGTGTACAAAGCACAGGGTATCTATACATTCTAATCATTTCAACTAGCTTTCTGCCTCAGTTTTGGTACTGGAAAAGATTTTTGTTAGTCACCCAATCTCAAAAATCTGTTTTTTGCTTGTTTTGCTTACATCTGTTCCCTCTCTTCTGCCTCTCCACCAGGTCACTAAGATCACTTCTCAGGGTCTTAGTATTGTGATTTGACCACTTTCACACACCCACTGCTATAAAGCGGAGCTTCTCTTTAATGCTTGTATCTTCCCAACATAGCTGTCTTTGTTCTCTTCTCATTCCAATCCTACCACACAGTAATTATTTCTCTAACTCAGAGCAATCTCACGTATTGCCACTATCCTATTTTAAAACCTTTAATGGCTTACAAATGTGCATCACACAATCCTAATTGCCAATGTAACACTAATGGCTTCCCCTCACTCTACTCTTAATCAGCCCTTACTGTTCACTGCATCCCTCCTATGGCCTGCTCTCTAGGGACACAAAATTATGCAAGTCCTCAAATATATTTTGTGCTAATTTTATACTTTAGCTAGCTTTACTTTTTTCTTCCTAAAAAATTAATCCCCCTGCCCCACTTTACCTTCATACCAACTACACCTGGGTAGACAGACCCCTGGGTATAGATGTCTGCTGTTGGTCTTCCCCCATCTGAGAGTCTTTTCGAACTAAAAGCAAAGTCATGGAAGCAAATTCTGTATTTTTTGAGGACGACTTATAAGCTGTCCATGAGATTCTCATGAGGAATGAATGACCCCAAACACTGCCCTCAAAGCCATGATAAACAATAACTACTCCAAGAAGCCTTCCAAAGTGCCTATCTAGTACACTGCTTCCTAAAAACTTTATAAGCAGTACTGTACATCACTGTAAGTTAGTGCCCAAGCCATTTGCCTTGTATTTTGTGTATAAGCTTTCCGCCCCTATTAGATTTTAAGACTATAAAAATACAGTGTGGCCCATCACAGTTAATAGCTCATTACTATGCCCAAAGTAGACATCTAAATGAAAAGAAAATGGAACTAGAAGCTAATAAACACTACTTTTTCTGAGACTTGCAAGATGGACCTAATAATCACAGAAGTGGCCATTCATCCCTAAAACAGCACAGCTCTGTAATCATGATTTCCCTGGAGTTAATCCACGCCATTTTAGCGCCTTTTATTCTCAGTCTTAGAGCAAAAAATAAATAAAATTAAATAATAATAATGCTATTTACATTTCTCCCAGATCAGGACATCACAGAAAGGGCATTATGAGAATCAATAATTTGTTTGTTTATCTCTATTAGTTTTTATGGACTAAAGCTAATCTTGTCCAAGGAACTTACTTTCCTCAAAAACAGGTACAAAATGACTTTCAAGATTCTGTACACTTCCATAAATTAACTCCAAAACAGTAATCTTTATAATACCTTTATTGGAGTTTTCCCTTGGATTTCTTATAAAGCAAAGTCTGGGGCTTAAGTCATGAAGTTCACATACTATCAATATTTATATTTACACCACGGTTGACTATCCACTTACTGTCGTTTAGACTTGTATTCTCTAATCTTGTCCACGAAGATTTTCTGTACAGGATCAAGCTCCTTATTAAAGGCCACTGCTGAAGCACAAATGTTCCTTAGCAAGTGGACGGAGATCGCCGACCGAACAATAGAGGAAAACCTGAAGAGCCTCTGAAGAATCATGGTGATTCTACAGTACTAAAAATAAGCACCAGAATGTTAATACACTCTTGTAAAACACTCTCAGTATGTCCCAAGGTGGGAATCTAATGCTAACTGCTACAGAACTAATACCAGCACTAAGACCACAGCAGACTGTATTTTCCTTCCTCTCATTCCCTATTGCAAATCACTTGCGTCTTACCTTGGGGCCCTAAGAACTAAGAGGAGTCAGGATAAACTCAAGCCTAAAAGAGAACAAAATTTGGGATGGGGTTTATTTTCCCATGAACCTAGTCCTGGGTCAGAGGAAATAGTAGAGGGCAGAACACGGTCCACACCTAGTAGGAAAAAAAAAAAAACAACTTGCCCCCAAATCAATGTGCAAGTCTCTCTGACCCTTTAAAGACCAAAGGGCAGAGTGAAAACAGTTGCTTCAGCCAGGAATGACGCCCTTCCGAGACCAACAGTGGTAAGACTGCTTGCCCTGTTCATCTGCAGGACTCCAGCCATCCAAGAACACTGCAACAACTAAATCAACATCCAAAAGAAACACTGAAGAAAAATAGCACTCGCCCTCCTGAACCATGCAAAAATGGGGAAAGATGAGAAAATATCTCTGTCGGCTAGGGAGATAGCTTAATAGCTCAGTGGCAAATGCGCCTGCCTGACAAGCGCAAGGTCGTGAGTTCAAACCCCATACCGCATGCTGCACAGGCCCCGGAATCCAGGGTGCACAGTGCCAGTCCCAGAGCCAGGCATGGTGGTGCACACCTGTAATCCCAGCACTAGGGAGGCTCAGACAGGAGGATCACTGAGTCTGAAGTGTGAGTCTGAATTGTCTAGCAAGACCCTAGATCAAAAAGGAAAGAAACTATTTCTAATCCATGAAAAATAATTTGTAAAGGAGATAAAAAAATTTTTTTTAACTGGTGGTCTGGTGGTTGGGATATCAAACCTAAGTTACATCCTCAATCCTGAAAGTCTAAAATTTTAAACCTAAGGATTAAGACAACTTAGAGTGGGGCATGGTAGATAGCTCATGCCTGTAATCCTATCAATTCTGTAATCCCAGCAATCCGGAGGCTGAGGCTGAGGCTTATTGTGAAGGCCAGCCTGGGCTAAGGCCATCCTGAACTGCACAGTGAGACCCTGTCTCAAAAAGACAAACAAAGACTTCCTAGAGCTAAAGTAACTTATTTTTCTAACTTATAAAATGTCAGTAAATAAAAATGTACACAAATCATGAGGAAGATCCCTAAAATCTGATTTTGCTGATTTAATATTCAAATGCAAAATATTCCAAATTATGACACACACAAATAGCAATTCTCAAAAGGAATAATTACTAGTAGAAAATTTCTAATTACTAGTAGAAAATCTCCTGTAGCTAATTGAAAGGGATTACTGAACCCTAAATTAGAAAGCAATACATGATTCACAACTCAATATAGCTAATGCCCTTTAAAAAAAAAAAAAAAAATTAAGGTCTCACTATGTTGCCCAAGGTGTCTTCCAAATTCCTGAGTAGCTAGAATTACATGCATTTACCACTGCACTCAGTGTATCCTGGGGGCATTTCTGAACCTTAAAATTAAAACCAGATAAACTAACATGTTTCCCAAGCCCTTTCCCAAATTACCTAATCAACATTATCATAGCAGGCCTCCACTTCTATTATTAGAATGGGCCAGTGTAAGTATACAAACTGTTACTGAGCTATAGTAACAGAAATTGGAAATAAGCGCTTTAGAAACTTTCATAGCAATTCAACAAAGCACTTCTGCGTTGAATTTAGCAATAAAAAACGAGAATTTGTATTATGTGTGCCTAATTTCTTTTCTTTTCTCAGTTTTCTGGTAATTCACTTTTATTATATTCTTTAAAAGTAACCAAAGGAGGGCAAGACTGGCCTTTGCTACTTAAATGTGATAAGCATCAGTTATTAGATAGTACTATTCCATAATGATTCTGAAATAGGAACAGGATAGAAGAGGAAAGATATTTATCTGCCAGGAAACATTTGGCAGTGTCTCAAAACATTTTGGTTGTCTTTGTTAGGCTGAGAGCTCTTGCCCTCTAGTCTAGTGGGCAGAGGCCAAGGATGCTTCTTAGACCCTGTAAGGGGTCATGCCCCCCCCAACTGTCCAGATTGTCAATAATGCCAAAATTGACAAACCTTGGAATAACATACAAACTAGTAAAAAAACCCAATCAACAAGAGGTCATCCACTGGCCAGGAAGAAAGAAATTACACAATTCTTACACCCTATCAAAGAAAAATACTTGAGAAAAGACTACAAGAAACAAGTCACCTCATATCGTGTCACCACCATTTCCATTTTTATACATAGAGAAACTCATACTTAAGACATTACCTGGTCCAAGATTATCCAGCAGAATGTGACTCAACGCAAATACATAAAAATGCTGCCCAATTTAAATGTTCTAGCAGTCTAAGGACATGCTTTAACACCCAGCAAGAAGGCAACATAACATTTTTTTCAGAGCTAAATATATCTTCTTTGCATTTCTAAAAAGTATTAAAGTGTTATCTGCTTTTCAGATAATACAATTATGTCTCAAAAACCTCTTTAAATTGCCCACAAACCCGAAGTTAATTTGCTTTAAAGCTGATTGCAGAAATGTTATTTCTACAATAGGTAAAATCATTATCTTTTTAAAATTATCTACCATCTAACTAAGTACCAATTCCTCAAACTGATCTCTAATTTGGTCTTTTTCCTGAACCCTTTTTCCCCTAACAGCTCTCATGTCCTAAATTCTATACACTCCTCTACAAAATGAACACATAATCTCATAAAAAATCTACTGCTCCTGTATTCACTTTCATTTTCGCACTGATGAAACCGTGAAGGCGGATTATCCGCTATCAAGCAGAAGACAAACCAGTACACAAATAGGGGTAAATACCACCTGCGACAAATTCTCTACTCAAATTCGATCAGGTGCTTGGGGAAGCTTTGTTAGGAATTTAACAACAGAGTGGGGAAGACATCAGCAAGGGGGTAGGAAGAGCTAGAGGCTCTGGGCAGCGCCGATCTGCTATTTATAGTAACGAGGGACAAGCCAAGCCAGTTTGCTGCCTCTGGGAACACGAACCCAAAGTTAACCCACAAAACTGCCTGAAGACTGAACACCACTATTATTTCTAGGTGGGACGCAACCTTTCCAGCTCCCTGCCCTGCTCCGGGATGGACAGGCCTGACCTCGGGCTGTCCCGGGCGGGCCGCAAGCCGCAAGCCCCGACCCCCGACCCCCGACCCCCGGCCCCCGGCCTCCCCGACGCCACAGCGTGCCCGCACACAGGGCGGTGTATTTATCGCCTCTACGGCAAACTTCAAGCCCTACAAGCGCCGAGGTCAGCAGTGACCTCGGGACAGACCGTGAAGGTGCCAAGGACACTGGGCTGCCCTTTCTTCCTAGTAGGGCAAGGGTGATGGGCAGCCTAAACCCTGTGAAGAAACCCAGGGCCGCAGTCCCCAGAGGCCCCGCTGATCTAACTACCCTCCCAGTCACCTTGCACTTAGTCCCGAGCTCCCACGGCCTTCGCCGCCGCCACCGTTCTACTTCCGGCCCTGGCCCCGCCCCCTACGCCTGCCGCCCGTCGCAATGCATTGTGGGTCACCTTCTAGTCGTTCTACGCTTACCGGACAGGAAGCGTCTCAGAGACTGCCTACGACCGGACAGCTCTAGGTGAGACAGAAGGCATAGAGAAGGAGGAAGTGGAGGGTAAGTGCTTCCGGGTCCCCTGGCGAAGAGTCCGCCATCTTCCCTTCGCCTAATTTGACACACTTTTTCCGGTTGGGCACGTTGCTCTGTACGCATGCGCACACTGGCTTTACCCCTAGTTCAAGCTCCGCTCGGTTCCAGTGTCGGGTTTCTTTGGGATGTTGTACTGTGCAGGGAAAGTGAGAGAGTGTGAAACAAAGCCGATCGGGACGTTGTGCTTCGCGAGCCTCCGTCCCCCGGCGTTCGTGTCGCGCACCCTGCTGGGAGTTGTAGTCCCGGCCCGGGGGTGCCTGGGAGGCGGGAGAGGGCTTGGGGTTTCTCGGCGCCGATTCCGCGGGAAGGGCCGCGGGGCCTTCCGCTTCGGGCGGCGCAGCTGCAGGTCTTACCGGAGGGGCGCCGCACGTGGAGCCCGCGGCGCAGCCGTTCTCAGCCTGCGCTGGAGCGGGGCGAGCGCGACGGGGCCGACTCCGGAGCGGGTGAGTGCGGCCGCGGGGAGCAGGGGAGCGCGGGCCCGCGCGGCGGCCTCGTTCCGGGGCCTTTCCCCCGGCGGCCCCCCCGCGGCCGCCTCTGTGTTTTGTTTCCGCTGGTCCCCGACGCCGCGACTCCCATTTCCGTTCGTGGAGACTTTGAGGGAGCCGGGTGGGGAGGGGCGGGAGAGGCTGTGGGGGCAGGGGCCGCGGCCCTCCCCGGCGCCCCCGCCGC